ATCAACGTTTCCTCCAGGATAATAATCGACCTCTCGCATCATTTACAAACTATCCTAGCCAGGACAAATGTAGCGAGAACGAGACGGCAAGGACGCACAGTCTTTATTGTCAACGAACAGCGGGTTACTAGGCTAGGACACGCTCATGCACGTACAAGGGGTATCTCCATCCTAAAACGCCACGGACTTGTTTTTTCCTTAGGCGTCACATTCATGCCCCCATTAAATCCAATGCGCGGTGTCTTCTTCACTGATTTGCCCTCGTATCTTCGTTTTCGCCCATGGTTTTCTGATCAGACTGGATTCGTTCTAATGTTCAATTGAGATTGCGTCGTTGTCCATGTGGTAATTACCGAAAGCGATTAAAATTGTCTCCCTTCAGAAAATGTGGCGCTCTAGCGCTACGTCGTTCGCACTTCTCCGTGTGGGCCGGTATAGTTCTGCGCTGGTGACCCATTAGCAAAGTGGTCAACAGATCTCGAGCTGCTTAGCCGACCATCGTTCCTGGTCCTCACTTTAGTTTCCATGCTTATTTTCATGACGCTTTCGTCTTGCCTGGGTTTCTTACCTTCCACCTCACTACACTGTAACTACTTTGCCTACACAGTCGAAATATCAGTACAAATGCTATCCTACCCGGTCCTATCAACTGAAACACCATGTTACAAAAATTTTGACTGTTCAAGTATGTCCGTGCTTCAATCGCTGCTTGTTTTGGATTCCTGTCTAACAATTTTTGAAGCAAATCTACCGCAAGCATGTAAACCACCATTTGATCATCCTAGTCGTTGCTTTTCCTAAGTTGACGTTCACACAACTTGAACTTGAGCGTTGACACCCATGACTTCATGAGTTAGAACGCAATGGTTCACCGCTATGAGATATTCTCACACGTAATGTGGACCGCTAATCGATCGTCTTGTCTGCAGCTGAACGCAACTCTTTCAGTCTGTCGGTTAGACTATCGCGTTTCGGTATAATGGTCATCCAGTTTGCCGCCATCTACCTCACAGTTTTGTATATTAAATAAATAAATAAATAAATAAATAAAGCTATTATTCCGGACAGCGCGGGACAGACCTGCGTAGATATGCTCATGATAATACAAACAGGTATGTTCGCTAATTGCATTACAATATATTATTGTAGTAACCAGTTACATACTGGATTTGTGTGTCTGTATATATGTAAATGCATGTGTCAGTGGGCATGGTGAGTGAACTTGTAAACTGTGACTGAATTCGTGAGTTTGTTTGCTGTGTTCGCCATCGTATGAAGGGATCAACTGGACTCTTCGAACTGTGTGAAGTGTGTTGTGTAGTGGGGATCCTCCGGATGGGGAAGAGGCGTTGACCTTTTTTGGTGACGAGTCACATCCGCCACGTCGCAGTGTTGTTAAACGGACCTTTGTGGCTTTTATTGGGACAACGCTTGCGAGGCGAAAACCTACCATATATTAAGTGTCAAAACAGCAAAACTAGTACAGCAACTGACGTGACGGAATATCATCCAAAAGAACAAGGGTGCCATGTAGAATAAGTTGAAACCGTTACCGCTTTATGAGATTTTATGCTGAAATGTTAACGGGTGACGTACAAATATGTACCGCAGAAAGTAACATCCTACTTCCGTTTTCAGGATGAACTCTCTATTTATGATGATCTACTCTTCAAAGGAACCTGTATTCTGATCCGGTCATCGCTGCAAAAATAGATGTTGAAATACGTCCGGCGCACTCATTTGGGTATCAATTATACCATTAAAGTAGCAAGAGTTGCTGTTTTCCCTGGGAAGGACAGATCAAATCGGGGATCATGTGTTGAATTGTGAGACGTACGTTCACACGAAATCCGGTAGACGAGAGAATCAATACTGCTGCAGCATCGTATCCTTGATTAACCGGGACAGCAAGTGGGGTGGATTGTCTGCGGCAACTTCAAAAAGCTACTTAATCAATATGGGTTACCATAGTGATTAGTTGAGATCGATTGGTGGCAGTAGTCAACCAGCTCAGATGTCCATTCTCGCGGAACCAAAACCTGGCAATGGTGGTATGGGACCATGAAATCCAGTTTACCAGTGCTGCTATCCATGCCTTTGCAACAAAGTGGGAATTCCTGAACAGCCAACGAGCCCATAATACAGCGTAAATCGAATAGAAAGGTGGAGTAGACGGTGCAGCAGGCAAGGCGTATATTAACAAACGCTAGAGCTACTCGCGAAGACGCGTATATTTTGCGATGGTAAAAATCACACTTCTTCTACGGATACCTGTTTGAGCCCAGTGCCGCGACTATAAAAGCAAAGTAGGCGAACACTGATGTCGGCATTAGCCACAATTTTGCACCCAGTTTCTCCACAACATGAGAGGAAAGAAAACAATCTGAGAAGACCAATGATCACGCAGAATCGGTACTCCGACCGAGTGGCACGGGAACTACCTGAGCTAATAGTATCCAATGGTTGAGAGCATTGGAAGAAATGTGTGGTGACTGCTTGGATAGATACATGATTCTAGGAAATAAATTTTGGAGAGAAAATACTCAGAAGAAAAAGAGTGCATTCGAGACGACACTAGAGATAAGCAGGATTGGAAACGAAGCGCCCAATGACGTGTGGCTTAGAGTTCACGACTTTAGATACAAAGAAGACGACGCGGAGTGGCTGTGTGTGCATGGCGCATTGCAATGTGGAGGCTCAAGACAGCAGGGTATCATACCGGTTGAGCGAATGGATCAACTAAGCATGCCAGACCGCCAATGGGAGATAGGCATAACCGATTCGCTTACTGGAGAGCATTGGCCGACATTCGTGTGACTTACTCACGGTTTGTTTAACTGATTAAAAGGAGAAACCTCATAGACGCAGAAGTATCGGTAGTGCGATTTACATGGAACAGTTTGGCTTGTCAAACATATTTGATATATATATATATATATATATATATATATATATATATATATATATATATATATATATAACTGCTATATGCTGTGAGCAAATGTGCTAGCGCTTAGATAGTATTTTGGCTGGGCACAAAAAGCCAACAAAAAATAACATTAGACAAATATACGTATTGTACAAGGAAAGGGGTTTGGTTAGTTTCGGTAAGTAAACAATTTATGTTCACCATACATGGACACAAGAACTTGTTGTTTCCAATATGTTTTTATTGCTGACATTAGAATGTAAAATTTAGGATTGCAATTAACAAAGAAGTGATGTCGTAACCATTTCCCGTTATGATTCTTTTTTCCAAGGCCTCTTTGATTATTGTGATCGCATCTGGTTCATCCGACTCGAAGTGCATGAAAAAGACTCCTTTCAAATATCCACGGTGTGGACCGGTTACAACACAAGTAAAGTTCTTGTAGCCCGCTATTTTCCCAGTGTTAGCCAAGTTCTCGTACTTGTTGATTCAAAACAGCCAGTGGGGTAAGTACAATATGTTCATTAGTACGATACATTCATTATGGAAAGATTTATTATGCTTGAGCGATTCTGGTTTGTGTGTGGGACATTTTAAATAAATAGCTATTTTTTAACGTTTAATTTATCTTTTTTTATGAATCCAACTAGCACTCAGACAATATACCCTGGGCTAGCAAAAGCGAGTGCTAAAATCAAGGACACATACATAGCTGTACATGCCGCCTTCTTTTGATGAATATCACTGCAACGATAGTTTTATCAATCTACCCTATTCTTTCAGTGATTTACTAAGGGACGCAATATCATTTAAACTATCCGAGCAGGTGTGTATACAGTCAACGGGGTCCATAACGTATCATAGAGGAACCTCCGCGAATTTAAGTTTGCTGATTTGGCAAATGTTCAAGTTCAGTGGATGTTTGCCACCTACTTCAAGCCACGCTGTAGCGGTTACGCTAAAATAATAAACAATAGAAAACTGGCAAACGAATTGCCACTTGAGCTACCTTGCGCATCAAGTGTGTATTATGACAGGTCTATTCTGATTTTTGAGTTGACGGTGCGTTAATTTGCGAGCAGTTGCAGTGCCACGAGTAATCGATTTGTGCATCGCCGTCATCCAATAATCCTGAGTGAACACATTGAGTACCATAGCGAAACGTGCTTGTGAAAGCATTTCAAAATGTTGCTTACTCTTGAGCAGGTTGTCTCCGCAATATGCATCACCTCAGTTGCAGTGCCATAGATACTAGAACGTTCGACAGTTAAATGATTTCCGAAGGATCCCATAGAAATTCGGATGGCTGAATTTGATTGACAATATCAGGAATGCACAAAGTAGGAGCATACTAAATGTCAACTAAAACGGTGGATGTTGCTTTTCTGGTGTGACTAATGCGCATGTTTGGCCGTACTCAAGACGTATAAGCCAGTATGTACCTAAGAGTTTCATTTAGTCACCTTCTATGATAGTGCAACGCAGACAACATAGGTGCAAACCGCTGATAATTTGGGCCAGATGGTTTAGCGCCAATGGGAAATTCGCACTTGTCCTACAGGCAATTCCATGAGAAGAGCTGAGTTTGACTGCTCATTCCGGTGAACGATGCGAGATGTGCTGCTTAGTATTGCCGCGTCAGTTCCCACGGACTAACGCCTGTCTGATTGCAACTGCTGTGGTACCCACTAATTCCACAGAAGTGCGATTACATGGGGAGTAGTGGCTTGTCTGATAACCTGTGTAGTCTAGCTGTCATTGATTGCTATGGATCCCGGTATGGTGGAACAACTTACTTGCGTACCCATCACCGATGGAAATCTCTGTAAAAGAATAACGCATTTAGCTTACGCATCAAAAATATCATGAATTCAAAAGGTATATGGGAGTATGATTTCTTATTAGGCCCATTTACATTAGTATAATCAGTGAATGAAAACCACTCTAATTATGTGAATGATAACTGCGGAATACCCGTCACATTGATGAATTCCAGCATTATCTATTACAATGCAATTGGTGTACGAAGGTAGCTATAGTGTCTGAAAATGCAGGATTGTTGCAATATCACTTAAACGATTGGGACCAATTTACCAAAGTGTGACTGCAGTTTAAAGCCCATGATATTTGTGTCATTTCTTCGTTTTTCCCATTCCGAAAACAATTCCATTACAAAATTGTGCAGTTCAGCAGATCCTTTATTCTCTGTCCTGACAATGACGTGAGTTCGATTAGGAGGGGCAATTAATGAAGAAAAGCCACATCCGACCGTATCGTATGGCACGTTTATCTTGGACGAAATTGAGGCGCGAAGCTGAAATAGCGTGGCAAATAATGCTTATCAATGGGTTTAAAGTGATCAACCAGAACATATTTTACTACGCATACCCCAAACTTCCAGACATGGTGACAGTAGGTATGGCAAAGTGAGAAATTAGCCTTAATGATTTGGACGAGGCATGCTATTCGTATTTCATTTATATTTTGATATGATTACTATACACCTGTAAACAGGAACTCAGAGCAATACTGTTTACCTTGGTGCAAATATCTTCAAACTGTCCAGCTACTGGCTGATCTTCCAGTTCTTGTTTACTACTTAATGGTAACGGATTGCCATCCTTCAGGAGTACTCCTGTTATCTCTATGCCTGTAAGGACAAGAGATAATGAAGTTAACATTAAAAAGCAGACTATTACGAACGGCTATCTGACAGAGAGGATTTGGTTATTTTAGCCAGGAACGTGTGCATTGGCTGTTCTGCGTTTTCTTTACTAATCAGACAGCATTTGCCATAAACTTATGAGGCAAACAATAATAATGTAGAGACAACTGACGTGTTGGAGAAGTTAACATATTATCAACGCCAGGTTTGTAACGATCAGCGAAAGATGCACAATCCACTAATTTAAACTCACCATGTAGCCGCATTTGTTGGCATGGCGCAAAAGCAATCGCTGTTGAACGAAATTGGTAGCGTTCATAAGGAGTACATTATGAAATCATTGGGCGCACTAGGTTCTTCTGAGTTGCATTAAGTCAGAATGTCTAAGTAAGCTGCCTAGACCTCTGTCTCGGTTTTGCTAAATCGATGTATTTTGAATATTGGAGTTTCGAATGTACGTGAATATCGACTAGCGTAACAATTGTTTCCGTGACAAGCGTTTCAACAATGCGCTTGTTTCGCATCTAAACGTCATTTACTCGGGCTATCAGACGCAACTCCTCGATGCAATGGGCAACTTATGCTAACTGGAGTTCGGAATTTTATAAAGAAACAAGTACATAGTCAAAGGACTGAGTTAAGCCTGTGTGGGGCATCAATTTTTCCTCCGTATGAATTGCATGCGTGACATTTATTATGATGTGTGCAAGATCTCATCGTTTTATATTTTGACTGCAAATGACATGGGTGTGATTCAACAACACGTATTTACTTTTTTCACTAAAGACTACAGAAATTATGTTGTTTTCGTGGGTTCGCGCAAGACAAAGAAAAATGTTAGAAGTTCTGATTTATACTAGTGATCTAGTACTTTTCGAATGGGATTGTGTGATATTTCTAGCACAAACGGTTTCGTAGTGAAATGTCATCACGTAATAATCAGCATCGGAGGACAAATTGCAGGCACAGAATTCAGCACAAAACTTACCAAGTAGTAGGAAGCCGCTTGACGGGAATATCATAGCGGTTAGGCGGTATTTACTTGGGGTTGTGGTGCGCGTCCAATTTATATACCCGCCACATGCCCATTCTAGACCTTGAGCACTTCTGGCTGGAGGATATGTGTATCACACACACGAGAATTGATTTGCCAACTCTGTGCTCCAATTAGGTAGCCGACAGTACCTATCTGACACATCCGCATGTGGGGCGTCAATCTGATTGACGGCGGAGTATCTGTGAAGTCTAGCGCTGCTTAACGGAACGGATGGCGGTCAATATCCAACAAGTTGGCCCCACATGGTTTAACGATGTGAATCTTTCTATAACACACATCTACCATGGAATAGCAATGGCGGGAGTCTGGTTTAGGCTTTTACTCTGCAGAACACCCCATCTCATTTTAAGACACGGATGGCTATTGTTTAGGATATTTGGTGGCTACGTTTGTAAAGATGCATTTTGCTTATGTCTCAGCTCACCTTTCAATTAAAAGACGGGACCCAAGTAAAATTGGCGTACATGGAAGTAGTATTAGGTAAACAATACTAGAAATAAACAAGATTTTGCTGGGCGTAAATATTTGAACAATAAGCCAATGCAATGCCCTGTGATATATTACCAGACAAGACACTATTTCGATACTGCATTGCCTTGGACCACCATAACTAGCAACTGCACCATCTGCTGAACTACCAACAGCACCTACTTATCAAACCCTGTTTGTCTTCAGATTCGCTGCCCCGCACGGGTTTTCTCCAAACCAAGCTCTTGCGCCTGGTTGGTACCTGTTGTTCAGATAGTATCCCGCCAATTGGGAAATATACCCGTTTAATTATTTACCCATCTATCTACATAGCTTGCCCTATGATTCACACTTGCCTGTTGTCCGTTCATTCCCGTATTTGCACACACCTACCTAGTGACAATACACCCCATGAAGTCACCCGGGAACCTAAACCATCGTACCCTTTATGCACGGTACAGCCAACTCGTCATTGCGTGTGGTTATGTGGCCTAATATAAGCGCCTGTGTGATTCCTTGTGCGAACTCTTGTATTCGAGATAAGTCTGTAGGCTTCAATTACATTGATTTGCACTGTTATCTCAAACATTGCAAAGAATCGACTTTATCGTACTGAGCAACATTATTAATGTGTTTTATTTTTAAATTCTGCTATTCATCTGGATCGTGCGGAATTGCTTCATAAGCTTCTGCTAATGCGTCACCCTGTCGTTGCGGAGCAAGCGCACACAAAGGATACGCTGCGCCACATGGGCAGCCAAGGTTTCGGAATTCGGGGAGCATTTTTGAAGTAGCCATGCTAATTCCCTCAAAGACAAGTATTTACGTCTTCTACTATCCAGAAATGACGCTTCTCCTTGGACGATGGAAGGATATCTGCTCAAACGCCTGCGCTTCCATTGCACTAAATGTCTTTGTATGTGTTTCACAGGCGACTTATGGGTACAGTTATTTAATAGGGTCCAAGATGCCTCCTAGACAAGCGCAGATAATCTGTAGAAGTGCGTGGCTCTATGTACTTTATTATCCTCATCCTCAAGATATTCCGCATAACACACAGTTAAGCAATAGGGTGATATGGTCCACGCGACCCAGTGGTGTGCCTGTAATTATTCCGTCGACCATGAGTTCTTAGGTGGTGAGCAATAGAGTAAATATTTACGGCTTGTTAACAGTTCGAAATCTGGTTGGAGAAGACACATGATCGTAAGAGGTTAACTGGAAATTACATGTTGTAAACAGGCTTCAAACTGTATGCTATCAATTGACGCTATTTCCAGGTCGTGGATATTAAAGTCGCCTGCGACGAGAATGTGTATGTATGAGTTGCTCAACGAAACCTGAAGAACGTGGCTCAGTTTGGATTCCGTTTCACCCGTAGAGTTTGGTTGACGGTAAATCACAGTTAAAAGACATGTATCGTTGTTCTGCAACCATGGTCGGCACCAAAGCGAACCTGGGGCAGGGACATCTGGGTAGTCCATAAGTTCACATCGGAGGTCAGCCTTGTTATACAGAATTGCGCCACCACCTCTTGCAGCCCTGTCATTCTGAAGCAGCGGCAGACCAACTAAATTGGTCTCAGAAGCTGCTATCGCAATGATTAACCAGGTCTCCGTGACCATAAGGAGATCACGTGGTCGTGACGCCTAGAGAACTCTTAGTGCTGCCAACTGACTAAGAAGACCATGAGTGTTAACACACAAACAGAATGGTGCTTTTGTGGTTTTAAATGCATGCGTGAACAATAAATTCCCGTTTTGTTTTAAACCAACCGTTCTCAGATCGGCCGCTAATCGCTTTCTGTGGGTCATTGTGACTTGAATTTCAGGCAGACTGCATGTTAGCGCAGCGCAATCTAGACCAAGATGTTCTCTCGTGTTTGTCCCTATCTTGTATAATGTCGCGGTTGCTATTTTACCGACCACGCTACAGGAATCGGTGACCCTGTGCTTGGTTGGATCGCCAACTTTCTCACTCAACGTCAGCTGAATGTGAGAGTCCGCAGCTCCATGTCCGACCCAATTGACGTCCAGTGCGGTGTGCCACAAGGGTCAGTACTGGGGCCACGTTTATTTTTAACATTCATTAACGACCTTGCCAGTGTACTACAGTCGAACTTCTTGCTGTTTGCAGATGATGTCAAAATTTGGCATGACATCCGGACAGAGGACGATCACGCAACACTGCAGAGCGATCTGGACAGGGCGTACACTTGGTCATCCGAAAACATGCTCCACTTCAATGTTGCCAAGTGCAAAGTCGTGAGCTTACGCCACCAGCTCATCCATGAATACTTACTTGGGGACCAGCCGTTGCAACATGCTTCCCAGGAATGCGACCTCGGAGTGATCGTGCAGGACGACCTTGGCTGCTCCAGACAAGCTGAAAAGGCATCGAAAAGGGCCAGTCAACATCTCGGACTCTTACGGAGGGCTTTCGGAAATTTCGAGCCATCTGTATTTCCGCAAATGCTGAGCGCTTACGTGAGACCCCACGTGGAGTATGCGATCCAGGCCTGGCGTCCCTGGCGCAAGCGCGACATCAGTGCACTTGAAGCTCCACAGCGTAGAGCAACGAAGCTCGTCAGAGGCCTGTTTCACATCCCCTACCAACGCAGACTGCAGTCTCTAGGATTGTACAATGGTGAATATCGTCGTCACCGAGAAGACCTCATCATGGTCTATTAATACTGATGAATCCAAATCACCCATGTCGCAGTCTCTTGCAGCTGAGCCAAAATACCAACCTGAGAGGTCATCAGCTCAAACTGGCTACACACTACAGCCGACTTGATTGTCGACGAAACTCTTTCTCCCTCCGTGTGTCCCGTGCTTGGAATGCGCTCCCCACTCACGTCGTCCTTGCCCCCACATTGGCACTATTTAAAAAACGCCTAGATGACACTTTCCAACTTGCATTATTTGGCATAGCATGTCCTAATTCGGAGGACGAAATAACGAGACCCAAACCATGAGGTTACTGACCCTCCCCGCAAAGTGGCGGTGATGTTACATACAGAAGTGTCCCAATGAGCGACATGGATGTATACAAACTGGAGTAACGTACCACATTTCTCAACGGAAGCAACACACGAGTGAGCGTTATCCGTTCCTTTGATTTCTTTTTCCCATATTTGCTATAATAACAGCTCTACTTTGGGTGCAGACATCCAGTCCATACTTCAAACTATCATTATGAAGTGGTGCGTTGAAATCTGTAGAGGCTTAAAAAACGATTTACTTGTTCGATTATCCTTCCATTTTATCTATTGCTCCAACCACCCTACGGGACCTGTCAAGCATATGCTTTTTTACCCGTTATAAATCATTGTTCATTGTTCATAGTTAAACATTTGATGGACGCTGCACGTTCCTATAAAGTTCTGACAACTATTGGCCTAGCGTCTGCTATCTTTAGCCTAATATCGATAGATAACCAGTAGCGATGCTTCATACAGCTATGTAATAAGACCTGTCATTCCTTCGAATTTTGGCACTAATTTCAATATTTATGGACCTGAGCCCTTGTGGGTTGGGATAAAGGAATTCTCATTAGGGATTTAGCGAAAACGTCGTCAATAGTGTTTTGCGGGTTAAGCACCACTGCTCTCGGTCCTGCATCTTCGCTTCGTGATTAGGGGAACCTGGTCGTTCAGGTACACTATGAACAAATACGGTTTTCTCGATTCTTTCGTAGAAGAGCCGCCATGGTTTTCTGTTTCATTTGACCGCCCTTTCTAAGGAATATCTAGTAGTATGCATATCTTGCACGATGAGTTGCGAAAACGAACTGTTGAGAGTAGGACTGTCTCTGTCTCCTCAGTTGAGTTCAACGTTACTCAAAGAAATCGGG